GACCGATCACCGATGGCCAATCGTTCCTTCCTACTGCTTTGCCAAAGGTGGCTCAAATATGTCTTCCCTAGTCTATCCTAACGATATCACTTCTACCGATATCACTTCCCGCCTCTTCAATCCACTTCCTACTCCCCAGTACAGCTACAGTCCTTTCCCCTCTATTCCATGCCTCAAACATCTCCCTGTACCTCCCTTGTATTTTTCCCAGCTCAGTCATGAACACATACTTCCCTCTCCTTTTCGTACAACGGACATTCCGCGACTACATGAACACGGTCTTCGCACTCGGATCCGCAATCACATCTGAACTTGTCGTCTTCGTCGTCTACCGTCATATGTCTTCGTCGACGTTCTCGAAGGCNAACACATACTTCCCTCTCCTTTTCGTACAACGGACATTCCGCGACTACATGAACACGGTCTTCGCACTCGGATCCGCAATCACATCTGAACTTGTCGTCTTCGTCGTCTACCGTCATATGTCTTCGTCGACGTTCTCGAAGGCCTATGTCCCCGGTCCTGAATTTGACCTTGAGCTTTGTTCCTGCATCCATTGGTCCATGTAGGTAACCTTTGAACCCTGTTCCTTCCTTCAACATTCCGTACACTTCTAGACCCTCCTTATCCTCGGTTTCTTCCTTTAGATTCTGGTCTTCTATCTCGGCACAATAAACAGATATCTTCTCCTTGAACCCCTGTAGGCCCTCCGTTTCCAGCGTTTCATATTCGTCGATTTCGGACCCCTTCCATACGTCCTCTACAACCTTGACCCATTCCATGGGTTGTCTACCCCTCTTTTTGTTTGCCCACTTCGACTCCCATACTATTCTTGGCAACCTCTCCTCTCCCATCCCGCACATTCGATACTGCCACGTCAGCTTACTTGCGTCTCTTCCCGACCGTAGGGATCGGATCCCCAATTTTGCCCTGACGGCTGCATTACTTGTGCGCGTGGAGCATCCTAGGATGATTTGCGGTGCTTTCATTTGCGCCGCCTCGAGTTCCTTCACTACCTTGTTCATTCCTTCCCATACTTCTCTGGCGTATTCTAGAGGGGGGAAGGGGGGGGGGGG